TCCACTGGCCTGGCCCGCCGGCCACCATGTTCAGCAGATGCCTCTGCGGGAGCCCAGTTGGTTCTGTCTCCGGGCTGGGTCAGGGCAGTGGGTCAAACTCTCGAGGGGGCCCTCAGCGAGTCTGGCAGCAGCCGGTGGCTCCAGCACCCTCCAGAAACCCATGAGGCGGCTGAGAGCAGCCCTAAGGAGAGCTGCAGCTCCCAGCTCCCACCCCTTGGGGGCGGGTGGTCTTCCTTTCCAGGTGGCACCTTGCTGGAGCTCACGCCTAGCTGGCCCCAAAGAGAAGCGACTGCCCGGCTCCCGCGTCTCAGCGTGAACTGACAACAAGCTGAGGGCAGCGCTAGGGTCGACTCATGTCTCCTGAAGAGACGCTGCAGCCCTTACCCCTGCACCTGTGCTTGTGACCTTACCTGGAAACAGGGTCTTCGCAGGTGCAGTAAAGATGAAGTCATTGGGGTGGGCTCCAGACCAAGGACTGGTGCTCTCATAAAGGGGAAATTTGGACACAGACACACCCAGAGGGAAGATGACGTGAAGACACAGGGAGAACGTCTCGTGAGCCGACGGGTCAGAGTGGTGCAGCTACGAGCCGAGGAGCACCCGGGGCTGACGAGGAGCAGAGGGGAACGGACAGATGCTCCCTCACAGCCCTCAGAAGGAACCAGCCCTGCCAACAACTAGATCTCAGACTTCCGGCCTCCAGACTGTGGCAGAATAAGTTTCTCTTGTTGAAGCCACACAGCTGTGGTACTTTGTTACAGCCGCCCCAGGACGCTCATGCAGACAGTGGCCTGGCCAAGAGGCTGCAGGCCTGGACTCGTCCTGATTTGCTGGGAGGGCCCAGCTGAAATGTGGCAGCTGTTGGTTCAAAAGGAGAACTAACCTCAGCCCTGCAAACCTGAGATGTGCTCAGTTTCTAGAAAGAGGCTGCATTGGTGCCGTTTGCAGCTCCCAATGCCCTCTTCTTGTGCCTGCCCGCCCCCCACCCCAGTGTTTCCAGAGGTTTGGTGTCATAGACTCCGCAAGGGAGGTGCAGGTCCACCTAGCAGCCTGGCCAGCGCCTGCCTCTTCTGCTCTTCCCTTGGAGAAGAGCCCAGACCGAGAGGGGCCAAGCGGCTGGCTGCACCTGCCATGGTCGGAGGAGCCAGGTCTGTTTTCAGCCGGCCAGCTGACTTTTTCCTTTGCTGAGGCCCAGGCTCCGGGTGCGACGCCAACCAGCTCACTGTGTGCTTCTGTTCGATCGTCTGAGAGTGCACCGTCAGAGATGCGCTCCTCGGGCTGGCTGTGCTAAGGCGCCTTTGGACCCTGCCTGTCCTTGTGAGTGAGGTTCAGGCTCCTCCCCCACCAGCATGTTTTGAGAGGGACTGAGGTGGGGAGCTTTGGTTTCTACCAGAGTCCTGGGAGGGAGTTCGGCGGCGTGGGGTGTCAGCACCGTGGGAGGATGGCCTCAGCAGCCTTTTCAGAGACGTCTAGGAGGGGCTGGCTCACCGGTGCCCCTGGGGCGTTGTGTCATGAGGACACACCCTCCCTCGAGTCGGATCCTGGGGCAGAGGCGTTTCCGGTTCCCCATAGATGCCTCGGGGCTTGTCTAGGTGCCCAGTAGGAGGAGCTGGCGCTGGGCCCAGCACAGGGTTTGGCCTATTTCCCCAGGGCTCGTGAGCCGAAATCAAGGGGGCCCTGTGTTAGATGACCTCCAAGAGATTAGGGGGCACGACTCTGCGTACCAGGCCCTTGACAGTTGCAGGCAAGCAGGGGGACTCACCATTGGTTTTGGCGCCAGGCACCTGTGCACTCTTGTGTTTCCCGAAAGGACTGGAGTCTTGCAAACCCCAGGCTGAGCCGAGCCCACCAGGAAGCCCCTCTGCAGTGGGTCTGCATGGCCTGGGCCCAGCCCCTCTGTGTCTGCCTGCTGTCGAGCGCTCCTGCAAGAGGGAAGGGCGAGATTTGCGGCCAGTTCTCAGGAGCCCCAGGGCTAATGAAGGAGCCCGGCCAGGGACAGGGGGCTCCATGCTCTGGGCATCCTGTCTTCAGGTAGGCTGGTCACCTGTCCCCTTCCTAACAGAGAAGGTCACAGGTACCCAGGGACCTGGAGGCACTTTCTAGACAGCAGGGTGCATGTGGACTCCCTGCGCCGTTATGTAACATGAGAGGAAGGGCATGGCGCCCAGTTGCAGACACCCCACGGCATAGGGGCCGGGGCCCAGTGGATGTAGGACTGTCTGGCTGTGTGCTGTGGAGATCAGCGGCCTGGGATTGTCGATCCTTGCTTATGTCAGGGTAGAGGGAGACCCTGGCTTCCAGGAACTCCCAGACTGAAGTGTGTGGGTCCACGAGTCTGAGCCGCATCAAGGTCCCTGTGCAGCCCAGACGGGTTTCTGGAGGGAACCCCGAAGAGGGGCTGGACTGGGCTGAGGCTGTGCCCCCGCTGTGACCTGGGCCTCCTCATGCTCGCTGGGGCAGTCCCACCGGCCTGGGTTTCAGACATTTTCCTCTACCTCGGATTTTATCCAAAGTGAAAGGGAGGATCTGCTGAGTTCCAGCTCGCACGTGTCCCCCACATGGTTCTAGGGCTCACTCTGATGCCCTCCCCTGGGCAGACTGTCCTGGACACTGAGTCACCCTGTGTCCCGTGTCCCCCATGTTGCCCCGTGTGTCTGTGTGGCCCCGTCTGGCCTGGGCCTGCAGTGGCAGGGACAAGACGGAGGCCATGGCTGGATGCTGTCCTGTGGCTCTTGGCCCTGCGGTCACGCTGAGGGGCCTGGAGGGGACTAAGGTCCTCAGGGGCCCTCGGTGGAGGCCTGTCGGTGTCAGAGGACTCTAAGATGCGCCTGGCTCCTCCTTCCTCCTCCCAGCGCCCCCCCACGGTGAGGAGCCCTCAGCAACGTAGTGGGTGCCGAGGCCTCCACAGGGTGAGACTCAGGGGACAGTCACCCCGGCGTCCACTCCCCGAGGGCAGGCGGTGAGTAAGGGGTGCTGGTGAGGTCGGGACCTGCTGAGACGGCCCTGAAGCAGCCTCCAGGGCTTCCTGGCGCCGAGGGTCATGACCGCTGCGAAGCTGCCTGGGCGTGTGAGAGCAGCACCCGTCCTGCTCCCCTGGGAGGTGTGGACGGGCCTGGCTGGTGGCCAGGTGGGGGCACAGTTGCTGACAGCAGCCCTGTTCTCAGGGCTGAGGGCTCGGGGCCTAACTAGTGACGGGGCACAGGCCCACGTGGGCGGCCCAGAACCAAAGCTGCTGCATGTTCCACGCAGGATGTGCTGGCAGCTTTAGGGAAGAAGCAACAAGGGTCCTGCACCAGAGGATGTACAGCTGGCCCTGGAGAGGCCAGTGCTTAGGACTGCCGGGCGCGCTGGGAGGCTCATGAGGGGACGAAGGCGCCGAGTTGGAGAGTGGAGAGGAGATGGGGGCAGCACAGAGGGAGGGAGAAGCATCCGCACCTGGCGTCCAGTGCCCAGCTGGTCCCAGCACTGTCCAAACTGGCACCGGGTCCCCTGGGTGACTGGCCAGGGCCATCCTGAGGCTCCCCCCGGTGCTGACAGACCCTGGTCCCTCACCCCCGTCAATGAGGCCCTGGGGATGTGGCCTTGGGTCTGCACTTGGGGGCCATGTCCCTGGCAGGCGGTCGGGAGGACAGGCAGGGGGTGTGGCTCCCTAGGGGCTAAGGTTCGGGGGCCCAGCTCCCCTGGCCTCTTGCAGGAGGGGCTCAGCTACAGCACCGGCCTTCCTGCCCCATCAGCCCTGGGGGAAGCTGAGACTGGACTCAGATGGCTCCCCTAGGACTTGCTTCATCACAGGCCTCCTTCTGGAAGGCAATGGAAAGGACAGGCCAGCCTGCAGCTCCGCTGCACCCTGGAGCCTGGCGTCCATGGCCAGTGGGGTCAGAGAGCGGTCAGAGGCGAGGTGGGGATAGTGGCTCCTAACAAAGGTGTCTGAGGCTGACTGCTTCTCAAGGGGGCAACCCGCCCAGATCACAGCTCCCCCTCGAGTGACTGCTTGTGGACACTGCTGCTGGCCCAGCCCTGTGGAGGCTTCAAGCTCAGGAGACCCGGCTTCTCCTCAGAGGAATGGACCAGAACATAGCCCTGCCTGGGGAACCAGACTAGCAACGGATAGTGGAGAGCATGGCAGGAGTGTGGCTCGCTGACCAAACGCCAAGACATTGGCCAGCAGGTGATTTTTCTTGGCTTTTAAAGGCCCACGGTGACTTGGGAACAGCAGGGGTCAGTGGCACTGATGGTGGCCCCAAGTGCCATTCCTGGGTGGGTGTTTCACAGGAAGTCCTGGTGCCGATGTCTAAACAGCTCCGTGCAATGCTCCAGCATTCGAGTGAGGCTCCAGGTTCGAGGGCTGAGAGCACAGGCTGGGGCACCAGGCAGGCTGCCAGGGAGGCTGTGGCGCACCAAGAGGCAGCAGTGGGGGAGAGGGGCTGCCATACGAGGACCATAGCTGGGGTGGCAAGGTTTCACATCAACGGAGTCCCAAAGACCACCCCAAAGGCCACTAAGGCACCTGTGGGCCCCAGAACCGGCCCCATCCAGACCTGCCCCAGCCGAGGGATTCCAGGAAGTGCCCACCCTGCCAGCCTGAGGACGAGGAAGGAAGCGAAAGGCACCAACGCCCAGCAAACCTTTGCGGAAGTTCCAGGGGACCAGATGTGGTTCAAGAAATAGGATGTGCTCTGGGAGAGAGAAAAGCAGGCCAGGAGTGAGAGCACAGGCTGAGGGAAGCCAAGGCCCGCAAGGGCCCAGGAGAGTTGGCAGGACCAGCTGGCAGGGGGCAGCTCTGCTCCTCGGAACATCACAGGCAGGACAGCTGCCCGACAGCGCCCCTCCTGGCCACTGTGTCCTCTTTACGGGTGACCCTGAAGCCAGCTGCTTTCTGAGTCGGGACGGCCTGGGGGGGGTGCACACCTGCAGCCCTCAGCACAGGGAGCTGCGGCAACTGCAAACCAGCCCCCTACGTTCAACATTCGCAGCATGAAACCTGCCCGTCAAGGCTGCTATAGATGCTTTGAAACATTTTATTTAAATTTTTTTAAAGACAGCAATAATTTATGCCATGAACCGAACGAGTACTGATGAGTGCTTTCTGGCTGGACCCACCACTGGCCAAGCCCACCCCGACCAGGCCCCCGAGCTCTGCCACTGCTAGGGGCGGCCCTGCCTGAGGAGGGCTGTGGTCAGCTTTGGAAACACGACAGTGGGGCCGAGGCCAGGACCGCAGGCAGGAGGAGGCCTCTGCACCACTGGGGAGGCCTCAGAGCAGACCCAGCCGCTGCAAGTGGCCGGGGGCTTTGATATTTCTTCCTGGTTATTATCAAAGGGAAACCGACAGGCTGACCAGAGGAACCCGGGAGAACGGTGAGGTGACCTGGGGACGCGGCCACTTCGGTCCTGCGCACAAGTGATGCCCTGCAGCTCATCTCAGCTGCAGCGTTTGCCCCATCTCTCCTTCCCTCCCCTGCACCAAGACCAAAACTGCTTATTTTTGATCGTTTTTTTAAAAAATATAATTTTGTAAATGTTCCATAAAAATACTATTGTTCCTAATCAAACACAGATATTGCAATAGGAAGAGTAACTGCTCTGTCTTTGCTCTATAAAATGTGAAAAGGTCATCACACCAGATAATATAGAAAAAGTGCCAGGATCTCCAGGTATCACAAAGCCAGTACCAAGGGCACAGGGGGAGGTGCTGCCAGAGGCCGGGTGGGCAGCTCGGACCCCTCCCACGCTTCCCTGCTCAGCAGTGGGTCCTCCCGGCATGGGGAGGACATCATGGCTTTGAGACAGACAGACAGCCAGCTGCTCTCAGCCCCCACAGGCCGGCACTGCGAGGGCCACCTGCTCAGCCTGAAGCACCGAAGAAACCAGCGACGCTCGGCCAGGAGCACAGGCAGCCGTCCTTTGACGGCGAGGGCACCGTGGTCTCTGCCGGCCTCTGGTAGGCTCGGGGACCCCTCCTCTTGCAACAACGGAGGCTCCACCTGGCCCACGAGGCGCGGTCCCATGCAGGCGCTGGGCCGCACAGAGCCAGCACAGCCCTGTCCCTCGAGGCAGGAGCGCTTGGTCCCGGTGGCTGGGCTGCGCCTTCAGTTCTCCGAGAGAGACAGGGCCAGGGCAGCCTGGAAGGCGGCCTCCTCGTCGATGCTGTAGTCCTGGAAGACAGAAGTGGAGTGGGCCAGGGGAACGCAAGGGCCGGGCGAGCCGGCTGTGCTGGCGGCGTCTCAGAGCTACCTCCTCTGTCCGGTCACCCCAGACTAGCGCTACCACTTCCAGTCTCCACACCTCCCTGCAGCACGACCCAGGTCACAGCCCAGGCCGAGTCCCCAGGGTCACGCAGCAACTGCTTGGTGGGATGTTGAAGTGCTGCCCACGCGTGGGGGCAACATCTGGCTTCTCCCAAGGTCTTTATCCCCCGAGGGCAGCGCGGGCCGTGCAGCGTGTCCCCAGCAGACAGCTCGCCCAGTGACCGAGGCTGAGTGGGTCTGTGAGGACACGTGGGACGAGAGCTGTTCTCTCATCTCAGAACACCGCAAAAACAGGGTTCTGAGATGAGCAGAGAAGCCAGAATCTTCACAGCCTCACAATGAGGACCCGGGCAGACAGAAGTGCGAGTGATTAATCTCACCAGCCCTGGCGCCCAGAGGCTGGAGGCTGGAGGGGGACTGGACGGACAGGACGGACAGGGCGGGGAGGGCAGGGCTGACCTGCTGCAGCTGGAGAGGGAGGGAGCCGGAGGTCCTTCCATGGGATGAGAGTCCCTCTAGCTCATCTCCAACAGGCACCTTGAGGGAGCCTGTCACCCACTAAAGGTACCAAGGCACTCTCTGTCCCAAGGCCACCGTGCAGGGCTGGGGATATGGTGACCCTGCCACGGCTGCTGTAGCTGTGGCTGCCTCTCCCGGAAGGGCTCCATGTGAAGTGAGCTCGCTGCCCGGTGGTGAGGGACCCCGCAGAACAAAGGGGCCGTCACAGGACTGCTCTGTGCAGACCCAAGGTCCCGAGGCCCCTGGTGTCCACGCGGACCTGATGGCCATAGCACCCCACCACAGGAAGCTCCCACAGGAGCCAGGGGAGCCTCTGCGTCCAGCTTCCTTTTTGCAGCCGTTGGGGCTGAGGCTGCTTATGGGTAGGGAGACACCCACCACGAAGGTGTCGTAGGAGAACTTGTGCCGGTGGAGCAGGTGCTGTAGGAAGTTGGCGCTCCTGTAGCTGGGGTCGCCCCAGGGCATCGCTGAGCAGATGGGGCACACCTGCAACAGGGGCGCTGGGTGAAGCCGCGCTCGGGGCTGGGAGCAAGCCCTCCACCCTGGGGTCCCAGGAGGGCCACCTGTGGGCGGACAGTGGGACCCAGGCACCCCTGGATGCAGGGGGCAGGCTCCGCGGCAGGCGCAGGTGCTCACCACGCGGTTGGGGTCGCTGCGGTGGTTGTCCACGCAGTGCTTCACCAGCTCCTGCTGGTCCAGGTTGCGGGCACCGCAGTAAGGGCAGGTGAAGGTGGACCTGTTGGGGATGGCGCTGCGGGGGTGGGGAGTGTGAGTGGTGGCCAGGCCGGCCTTGCCCACCTTCCTGCCGCCTGCCCCGACCCCATCACAGGCTTGCCGTGCCCTCCCCTCTGTGGGCTCCGGGCCACGGGCAGGAAGGAGGCCCAGCCAAAGTGCCAAGGACTGCGGCTGCCATGGGCACTCTGCTTCCCCCCGGCACACCCCACTGCGACTGCTCTGGAGCTCTGCTCGCCACCCAGTCCACTCCCAGTCCCTCCCCTTCCCCACGCGCCTGTGCAAGCAGGGGAGGACTGCCCTTCCACCGCCTGCCCTGAGAGGAGGCGTCTGTCCAGCCCCAGGATTTCTGGGGGCCAAACTTCCTGCTGGGAGGTGGCGCCTGGGCCCTCCTCAGGGTCCCCTTCCTACAGGGTGGCGAGAACCTCCACAGAGGGGATGCAGCAGCCCCTCCTACCTCCTCAGGGTGGAGCTGCACTGCCCCCACCCAGCAACGCAGGCCAGGCGCTGTCCCCACAAGGGACAGGGACCCTGAGCACCCCCAGCAGGGTGGCCTACCTGGGGATGGGCTGGGACGTGGGCACCACGGGGACGAACTTGGGACAGTTGGCCATCTGCTCCTGGACCTTCATGCAGGAGGAGATGTGTACCCTCATCTTGGCCAGTGTCACCTGGGAAGAGAGAGGTGGGGGATGGGGGTCAGTGGAGGCCAAGGCCTCAGGTTGCAGAGGGCGAGGGAACGACCAGCAGGCAGGGCAGGTTCCTGGAGGCCTCTCTCAGGGGCTGCGTGTCCCTGCTAGAGAAGAGACGCTGAGGGAGGGAGACACAGGCCAGGACCCAGAGGGGCCGCCAAGCTCCGCCCAGCAGCAGGTGCTCACAGCTTCAAGGTGTGGCAGTGCAGGAGGCAGGCGTCCAGCCACCAGCCCCGGACAGGAGCACGCCCTAGTGGGGCCCTCGGGGAGCTGCAGAAGGGCAGGGACGGTCCATGGGGGACCAGGAAGGGCATTTATCCCTTCCTAATGGGAGCCAACATACAAAATCCTTTTAGACAGCTCAATGTCTGACAAAACTCCTTACCGAAAGTACCAAACCAAACTGGACCCACCCCAGCACAACCTTCTCCTCGGCAGCCCGAGTCATGCATGCTGGCCGAGGGGGAAAGCTGGCTCAGAACAGGGCAGGGGAAGGGAGCACCGACTCCGGAGAGCTGGCGCGGGGACCCTCGGGCAGATGCAGGTGAACGACCAGAAGGAAGAGACGGGGTAAACCCTCCCTGGGGAGTGGACGCCACCAATTCTGCCATGTCACCAATGCCAAGAAGCTGGGGTCAACATCTCACAAAAAGAAACCACCTCGCAGAGCCAAGGAAGTGGCGAGGGATGGCCGAGGAGGGACGACTGCCTCCATGAGCGCATGGGGCCCTGTCCCCAGGGTGAGGCCTCTGGGGCAGCAGGAGAAGGTCCTTCCAATAGCAGCCAGGCTCCCAGCTCTGCCCAGGGCTGGCGGACACTGGGAGAAGCCCGCCCCCCCAGGCCCGCCCCGTGGCCCTGCGTACGTGTGCGAGTGGACAGAACCGAAAATGCTGCAGCAAAGGGCAGGGCTGCCTCGCGTGTGAAACTCCAGGACTCTGGTCTGCTCTACTCTCTGGGGGAAGAAGCCTGCCAGGGAGGGGGTGGCATGCCAGCTTGCAGGAAGCCACAGCAGCCCCCTCACCATGGACCTCAGGGCAGGCCCTGGACATTCAGACCTTTGACCTTTAGGACAAAGCAACCAGGGGTTGCTCCCTTTTGTGCCAAGTTGACGGAACTTGTTAACCCGAGACAGCAGAGTCCGACAATGGAAATTCAAAATCAGCTCCCGGGGCTGAGGCCTCCCCACCCCTCACACTGGGTGTAGGGAGGGTGGTGGGTGAGCTGTGGGGGTGAATGGGGGGCACTGAGAGCCACGATGAGCTACAGGCGCCCAGCACACCAGATGCTCTCAAGCTGCCTGTGACACACACCGTACCACCATCATGGCTCTCCCCTCAGCGGCATGGCTTGCAGTGGACAGGTCACTAGGGTGTCGAGGCTGCATATAGGGTGGGTTTCAGCTTAGACCGTGTCCCTGCATTGGCCCCAATACACATGAGCGACCCAGAGCCCAGGCCAGGCAGTGGGGTGTGGGGACGTGATGTGGGTGGGGAACCTGCAGCCATAAGCGGTGAGCAATGCGGTGGGGGAGGGGCCTGAGAGGAGCCACAGGTCCCACAGGAAAGACAAGCAGCCGACGCCCAGTTCCTCTGCTGGACAGCAGGACTGGGCCTGAAGCTGCCTGGCCAGAGCTCCCACCCGGCCTCAGGATAGCCTTGTGGGGCAGGGTACCTTCTTGTTGCAGCCCCGGCAGGGTGCCTTGTAGGACGAAAGCTGCTTCTCCACGTGGGTGGCCTTGTCCACCTTCTTGGGGTCGAAGGGCAGGCGGCACAGCGGGCAGAGGGGGGACGGCACCTGCAGGCAGGGCTGGAGGCACTCCCCACAGAACCTGCAGGGGGTGGGGGACATGAGCCTGAGGGCCGCCGGTCACATGGTCCTCGCTAACCACCCTCTTGCTCCAGCGCACGTGAGGCAGCTCCCCAATGGTGTCAACAGCAGGCTGCTAGAGATGGTCACTTGTGTGCCCAAGTCCCACTGGCTGGATGGCATCTCTGACTAAAAGATGACCGGGGTCCCCTCCCCGCCATGCCTCTCCAGGACCTGTGCCAACCCTGGTCCCAGCGAGGGCTCTGGCTGCAGTAGGTCTGGGCTCAGCCTGCCCATCTCACCACTATGCAGAGATGACAACACCTCAGGGGGTTAAGGGGACGCAGGGACAGCACAGGGGGACCCTGGAGGCCCTCTACTCACTGAGCCCTGAGGAGTAAAATCACTAACGATGGTGGGAGAAGAACTGCCGGCCGTGGGGCCCAGGACTTGTGGGACAGGGTAGGGCCAAAGCTGGCAGGGTAGTGTCACCAGCCTTGGGACAGTGCCCCCTCCCCAGGCAGGAAGGGCTCTGGCTTGGCCTGAGCAGAGGCTTGGTGACAGAAGGGGCTGTGCTCAGGCTCTTTTCCGCCGAGCAGTGACGATGACGGCCCTGGGCACCCGGCACCTGAGGCTCCTCGCTGCCCTGAGCTCCTGAACTGGTCCTTGAGATGCCAAGCTGCGAGGATGGCTGGCTGGCAGGATATAGGTACTAGCAGTCCCGTGTGTGCGGCCCCAGCAGCGACACGGTGCTGTACTTAGACCCACCCCCACGCTGCAGAAGCATGCTCATCGCTTGGGCGGGAGGAGAGGCGATCAGCAGGGGACACCAGGCTCCAGAACTCCCAGTGGGGAGCAAGAGGGAGAAAGAGCTTGAGCACAGGACCACCTCACTCCAGCTTCATAGGAACTGCCGTGGGGACTGCTCAGCCGCAACGTGGGACTGGGGACGTGGAGACACTGAAATGGGGCCTCCACAGCCCCAGAAGAGCATCCTCAGCCACAGGAAGGGGATCAGGCCCACACCCACAAGAAAGGTGGCAACTTCACAGACTGCAAGAAATCTGCAAGAAATCTGGGTGCGCACAATTCTACTCCTACCTGTGCATTAGGCAGGCTGGGCCGTGGGTGGGGACAAGAGCTGTATGGGACATAGGGGATGTGGGAATGTTCCCAAGTGTACAGAAGACTCAGCTAAGCTAAGGGATCAGCGTTCTCTCTGCCATCAGGAGATTTTCACCTCCTTCTCAAGAGAAGGCAGCTGAGGGCGATCCAGAGTCCCGCCTGCTAGGCCTCCTCCTACATGCTGGCTTCCGGTGCAGCCGCCACCTGGCTTGTCACTGCTCGTGTTAACATTTGCAGAGAGAAGGCCCAGCTCAGCCTGATGCCTGAGGCCCATGAGAAAGCAGAGTTCCGACACCCCTCTTCCTGCAGCATAAGGAGGTCGGCCCACTTGTCACCACCTCCCCCGGTGAGGGCTCGCCAGGCACCACCCATAAGCATGCACGGGAGACACCCACGCACCCACCCCTTGGCGCTCTGGCGAGGACTCCAGGGCTGCCCCCCTCATGGACCCCAGGACCTGATTAGCCGAACAGCCAGGGGAGGCCTCTTACTTCACCCCATCGCTGGAGGAAAGTGCTGGCAAGAGGGTCAGACCTGGGAGGTCACATGAAAACCCACATTAGGGCTCACAGCAGCGCCAGCCACAGAGCCAAGAGTGAGAAGAAGCCAGTGTCCTCAATGGGTGACGGACACACAGAACGCAGCCTGTCCCCATGTTGGGCTACTGCTCAGCCACAGAGGGAGGCAAGTGCTGAGCCACTACCACTCGGATGGCCCATGAAAACGTGACACTCAGTGAAAGAAGCTGGTCACAAAGGGCCACACAGTGTGCAATTCCATTTACACGAAGTGTCCAGAACAGGCAAATCCACAGAAAGCAGATCAGTGGCTGCCAGTGAGGGGTGGGTGGCATGAAGTTTGACTGCTAATGGGAACGAGGTTTCTTTTTGGGGTAAAGAATGTTTTAAAATTGACTGTGGTGATGGTCGCTCAATGCTGTGGATGTACTAGGAACCCCTAAGTTGTACACTTTAAATGAGGAAACTGTATCTCAGTGAAGCTGTGGAAAACACACACAGAAGAGGCCACAGGAGCCACTGGGGGATGAGTCGCCACATGAGCAGAAGGCAAGGTCCCAGACAGGCCTCAGGAAGGGTACATCCCTGGGGAAATGCACAGAAGGTTGGAGTGAAGGGCGCCTCCAGAAGGAGGAGGCAGGGAAGCTTCGGCATCTTGAGGAGGTATCCACAGCCCCCGCATGACCCCTGGACTTGCCTGCCCACCCCACAGTACTGCCTGTCTCCGTGTCATGGTCCCTGAGGAGTCAGAGGCAGAACCAGGTGTCCATGTGGCAGCCCAGCTCACGGCCTAGTTTCCAGCATCATCACCACGGTGTGCTGAGAGCCGCAGCAGACGAGCAGTGCCCACTTCTCCAACAGGAGGTTTCTGCCAGCGTCCGCCCAAGGGGCTGGTGCCGAGCAGCTTCTCAGCTGAAGGAGGCAGCTGAGGAGCTGAGGAGTCTGCTCTCCCACGCCAGACTCATGGGTACAGCTGGAGCAGCCAGACGGCCGCCACGTGGACTCCCGGCTACAGCGGCACCACCAATGTGTTTCACTCCTGTCCTGGCCTCCTGCAGACACAGGTGCACTAGGACGGGCCAATGTCTCAGAGAAAGGCAAGCAGGCCAGGCCCTGGGCACCCAGAGCCATCCCAAGCAGCAGAGGCCAACTTTCAAAACCTTTTCCGGGCGGTCTCTCAATCGCTCACGTCCTGGCCCAGCTGACTCGGCTCACCCACATGCAGATCCACATGAGCCGCCTGTGGGCCCAGGCCTCTCTGCGCCCTGACCAAGGCCTGCGCTCTCGATGGCCAAGCAGGAAGTGACAGAAGCTCCTGAGGCCTCTGGGATCCCACCCAGGGAAGCCAGCTTGTTGGCCTGGGTGCTGGCAAGCAGAGGGTTGTACAGGCTCAGTGGTCCCCAGGGTCTCTGTGGTCACTGCTGCAAGAGTTCAAGGTGGTGGGGCCGCTGAAGGGGGTGGGGGGAGTGGCTAAGAGGCCGGCCCAGGCCTGATTGCCCAAGCTCAAACCCTGGCTTTGTGGTGACACTCAGGAACTTTACTCAGCTTCTCTGTGTCTCATTCTCCTTGCACAAAAAAATAATGACAGTACCTGCCTCACAGGGCCATGGCATGCAGGCAGTACTCGGAAACCATCTACTTTACCACTCCTCGTGGTTCCCCTTAAACACAAGCCTTTTAATTTTCATGACCTCTGTTCGTTAACAAACTGCAAGTAGAATAGTTAGCTGGAGGGAAAAATGTGACAACACGGACTGGAGGGAATAAAAGAAAAGATATACAGGCCAGAGGCAGCCTGGGGCTGAGCCCAGCCCCAAACAAACATGAGCTGGGCGGAGGGCCCACCAGAGGGTTAGAAACAGCCCTGAAGCTTCTGTTCTGGATGCGGCTCACTGCTGCGGATGTCCCCAACCCGTTCCCGGGAGCTCTTCCACAAGCTAAGCTGAAGGGCCTCTTGCCCCTGGGCTCCTGCTCGAAAATCCTCTCCCTGGCCCCTCTTCTTCGGTCCCGGTGCTAGAGCAGGGGACCCGCCCCATACGAGGCTGTTCTCACCACCAGAAATTCTACTTTGTGGAAGGAAACTGCTGACAATCAGGTGGCCATGGAGGAGAAATAAGCAGACCACCAGCAAACTTTCTTTGAAGGAAAGGCACGAGCCTTTGAACCTGTGCTCATGTGCACACATGCCTTCATGACACTGGACAAGGGACTCGGGAAAGTAGGAGTCAGAGACAGAATAGCCAGGAAAACCAGCGAGGAGATCCAGGGAGAAGGTCTGTTTAAGGCAGACGCTCCAGAAGAGGCTTGCGCAGGACCGTCTCACCACCAGACCAGGGGTCAGATTCTGCCGACGAAGGCAGGGGGAGGGGTCAGACTCTGCCCAGGAAGGCAGGGGGAGGGGTTTGCAGGAAGTCATGCTTTCGCAACAGCTCTGTGTGGCTCTGCTCTCTGAAAACCACATTTTAAGAAAAGACTTATTTGGAGAAAAAAAAGATAGAATATACAAGTTTGTGCAGACCAAGAAACTGGAAACGCTGCAGCCCAGGGCTGGGTGAGTGCTGATGCCAAGGGGACACCACCCAAAGCTGAGGAAAGGATTTCTTAGGCCCAGGACAAGCCTTACAGGTCTCTCACTGAGGGACTGGGAGAGGCAGAACACACCTCCAAACACCCACTAGTACGTGCTTACAAGAAGGAGGTCCTGTCAGGCCCTGCCAAAACATCAAGCAGCATGAAAGAGCGAGAGGCGCAGTGCCCTTCAGGACAAGTCGGCAGTGCTCTCCTGGTATGGGTTAGCACCTGTGCTGCCTGACACCGGAGGAAGGAAAGTGAAGGCTTCCTGGATCCTGACACTGTCCCTGCCACCTCCCTGGGTGCAGAGTAGTCACACAACTAGCCAGTAGTTCCAGCTCCCTCTTTGCATCAGGAGCCTCCTAAGTCAGCTGCTTTTGTTTGCAAAATGTTCTGGGACCTCCTACCAGCCTAGGTGAACCTCTAGCCCAATTCCTTGGAGTGACAGCCCCGACGCCTCAGCAGCTCTGCTGGCAGCCAAGCCCTCCTGCCCCCTCTCCTCCCCCTGCTCATTTCACTCCAGCGCTGTATTATTCAGCCACTTGGGAGAATCGGAGAGCAGACACTCTGATTTTGGTTCCCTCCCAACCAGGCTGGCAGCTCTGAGAAGACTTGAGTACAGCTCTCAGCTGGGAGGAGAGCCACATCCTCAGGTTTCTGTTCCTAAAACACCCCAGTGGGCCCTGGTGCAGCTGGAAACCCTAGCAAGGTGCTTGGCATCTAGTCCCCTGAGGTCCAGCCTGCCTAGCTGCTCGGTGATCCAAGTGGCCCAAGTTCTCCATCAAAAGAAAACAGCACCAGATCCAAACAAGCCCCTCTCCTAACTTTAGGGAACTCCTCTACTCTGCAGTCAAGACAAGCAGACAGCGGTCTGAACAAAAGTTGACAGCAAAACCCACAAGGCATTTATTTACAACTGCCGGCCCCAGTCTCCAGGAAACCGAATCGAAGGCGACTGGCGCAGAGGTCGCGCCTGCTGCCCTCTGGGTACCTGGGGAGGCCCGCCGAGCCGTCAGCAGCCCCGAGGACCTCGAGGCCCGGCAGGGCTGCAGGTCGCCCCATGTGCCGAGCGGTTGGGAGGGGGCTGGGCTAAGGCTGGAGAACGCGCCCAGAGGGCAGGGGCGGCCTGTGCAGGGAGCCCGGCAACCCCGGGCCCCGCGTCCTCCGGGCGCCGTGGCTGAGCCGGGCCGCCGACCCCTCCCCTCCCGGAGGCCGGCGCACTCACGTGTGGCCGCAGCTGCCGATGGCCACCGGCCGGTGGTAGACCTCCAGGCAGATGGGGCAACTGTACTGCGCCTCCAGGCCGCTGTCGCCGCCCGCGGGCCCGCCCGGCGGCTGCCGCTGCTGAGCCGAGGCCACCAGGCTGCGGAACATCGCCATCCCGGGGCCAGGCCCGCCGCCACCGCCTCCCCTGTCCCGGCCCGGCCCGGCCCGGCCCGCGCGTCACGGCCGCGACGGCGGCGCGATGACGTCGTTAGGGCGCGCCCCGCCTCCGTCCCTCGCGTCACGGCCGCGACGGCGCTGCCGTGACGTTCTCAGCGTGTGACCAGCTGCAGCCACCGCGGTCTCCAGCGCGACCCGGCCCAGCCATGTGCCAGGTGGGCGAGGACTACGCGGAGCCCGCGTCCGAGGAGCCGCCGCCTCGGCAGCCTGGGTAAGAGCTGAGCGACCGCACCTGCCCCTCCTCTGCCCGGGGCTCCCCGCTGGTGGCGAACCCTGCCCCGAGGGCCCGGCCTGCGCTCTGCCATCAGTCCCGGGCGCGGCGCTCCGGGAAGCCTAGAGGTCGCTGAGGCCGGGGCCCAGGAGTCCTGGGGTCCCCGGGGAGGGTGGGCGCTGAACCTCGCTGCGCAGCAACCTGGGCGTGGCTGTGAAGCCGGTGGTGAACATCCCAGGAAGGAACTTCCACTGTTCGCTCGCATCTCTAGTTGTTGTAGCCGGTGGGGACGGCTCCGCCCCCGACCGGGCTGTTCTTACTGGGAGAGAAAGTTGATCTCACTGTCGCTTCCACCCACTTGCTCCGTTTCTCCCCTCCAGGCCACGCAAACTGTCTCTCTTTTCGTGCCATCTCTTGAGAGATTGAGAGGTGGACTTTATGTGCCCCTGTGCCGGCTTTAACAGACAAAATTACCCTCAGGGCCCTTGTCTTTCTTCAGATTGGTAGTTTGGATAAGACACAAGCCTTCGTTTGTGTGTGTACAGCCCCAGTCTGACCTCTCTCTCGTACACCCGCTTGGGGTGAGAAACAACACCAGTATGCCCGAAGGCTGCTGGGAGGGGTGTGTAGTCTGTGTTCTTGTTCTCTCTTCTTTCCATGTCTCCAAAGCCGTGAACAGAAGTGTGTGAAGTGCAAGGAAGGCCTTCCTGTCGTGGTGATCCGAGCAGGAGATGCCTTCTGCAGGTGAGGCCTGGAGGTGGGGAGAAGACCTTGGCAAACACGATCTCACTCAGCAGCCAGGATTGCCCCCCATTTATGTAACTGTAATTCTTGCTTTTAAAAGCATTTAGTCACTTTACTCCTGCTTGTAATGTTGCTCCGGGAGACCCTGGTGTGTGGGAGGAGTGTGGTTTCCTGCATGGGTAATGTTCTCTCATCAACCGTCTGTGGGTCAGGTGGCGGGAAGGTATATGATGGAGTTTTGGGGAGAGTGGGAGTGAGAGTGGGGTGAGGTGTGGGTGAGATGAGCATTTCCTGGCAGCTGGAACACATCCACGGCAGGTTAGAGCATCCTGGGCAGGTGCTCTGGGTGATGGCCTGTTTTACTTGTGAGGGATAGAGGGATGGAAGGAGAGCTCCAGCTTTCCACCAGCTCGGGGGGGGTCTTCAGACAGGAGCAGAGGCTTATTTCCAGAGGGGCCTGGGCACAAGCATGTTCCATTTTGCCTGAAGGTTTCTTGTGGCCCTGTTCCATCATCCTTGAATCATCACTCTTCCAATGTCTGGTCACATTCCCTGGACTTGTAGCTCCATGAGGGCAGAGCCTGTTTCCCATTTTATCCCTGTTAATTCTTGGTGATGTTGCATGCTTTGTATAGCAAACAAACGTCTGTTGAATGAGTGACTGGCTCACGTTTTTAAGTTGGTTTCCAAGAGTCTTGGATTCTGCTTTCTAAAATGTTACAAGAGAGAAACTAATGGGATTAAGCTGTTTTCCTAAAAACTCATCCCTGCCGGTCTCTCAGGTGCCCAGTAGAATGAGATGTGTGTTACCGGCAAATACACGTTAGGTTTTAACCACTTGGGGCATGTGAAAATGACGATTGCCCCAGTCTGCCTGGAGACTCTGATAAGAAGAGAGTTTGCAGTGGCTTCAGGTGAGGCTGGCAGGGCTCCTGGCCCAGAGCTCCCCTCCTGTGCTTGTTGGTCCCAAGAGAAGGTGAGAAGCTGGCTTTCCAGGTTGTGGACTTTTGCAGTCTAGATTTTGAGCAAGTTTCCTCAGTGATTGTGAGGATCAACATGGGTGGGCAACCCTGGCCTGGCCCCCAGGGAGAGTGCGTCTGTGTGTGCTCAGGGAGCCTCACCACACCCCGACCTTCCTGGAAGTCACTTCCTGTGGCTGGTCACCTGGGGTCCTTGGAGCCCTGGCATTTTGCTCTTGAACGCTGAGTTGACTTACTGTCTGCAGAGGACTCTGGGGTATTTGGTTGGCCCCTCTTGAGAGGTGCCTCTTCAGCGTTAGGGGGATTGCTGTGGACACCAGTGTGTCTGAACAGGAAGGAGGGGGTAGACAGGCCAGACAGGGCCAGGGCAGCTCTCCTGCAGCATTGTCCACCGCTCTACTGGAGGTGCTGTTCTCCCCTGACTGCCTGCTGGGATTTCTAGGGGGGCTTTTAAATGCAGATACCCAGGCCTCGCCCCTATACATTCTCACGCAGTTGGCCTGAGTGGTTCTAATGTGCAGCTAAGGCTAAGAACCTCTAACCTGGTGAGCCGAAGGACCAGCTGGAAGGTTTATCAAGAATGAAGATTCCAAAGACCTGCCCTGGAAGCTCTGATTCTGTGGGTTTGGGGAAGAGCCCAGGACTCTGCATTTGCAGGAGCCTCCCAAGCATTTTTGGTCCAGGTGGGCTCAGTGCACTAAAGAGAAGCCAGTGTGGTGCTTCAGGGCCCTGGGCACCCCCTGCAGCCTGCTCAGTGCTTCCCCTCTCCCCCTGAGAGCTGGTGCTTCTTGTGTGGGGGTCCTGGATCAGATCATTGACTCTGCTGAGGGTGGGTCATGCTGGTCTCACCCTACACATACCTGTGTCTGTCTGTTCCACCAGCTGCATCTTCCTGAGCACTTGTGGGTGCAGGTGGCTCCTGGGCTCTGGGCCCCTCAGGCATTGGTTCATACTGGTGAGGATTGGGGGGGACCCAGGCAGGCCTCCCCATGTGGCATGAGGCTCATCCTGGGGCAGCCACAGCTGGCGAGAACTGCTGAACTCTGGCTCCCCTGCTGGTCTCTGCGTGGAGCCTCAGCGTCAAGATGCTGCTTTTAAAGATGGAAGTTGCTAACAGAAGAAAACGTAACCAAGTGGAAACTTAGGCTGCTGTCCAGAGAGGCAGGTGTGAGCAGCTTGCCCATCTCTGTGTGGAGGGCAGGCGGCCTGGGCTGTGTTGCTGCAGCTGCTGGGGGGTGTGTTGCAGGGACTGTTTCAAGGCATTTTACATCCACAAGTTCAGAGCCGTGCTTGGGAAGAACCGGCTGATCTTTCCGGGTGAGAAGGTAGAGTGCGGGGTGACTCCTATGGGGTCCCTTGGGCCCTGGCTCTCAGCCCCTGCTACCCCTCCCGCAGGTGGCCTGTCCCAGCTGCACCCACTAGCCCCTCCCGCTGTCCTACACCTGAGTCCTGAGGGTGGGCTCACGCCCAGGGCGTCCCCAGGGGTGGCACACTCCCGCTGTCCTACACCTGAGTCCTGAGGGTGGGCTCACGTCCCGGGCGTCCCCAGGGGTGGCACACTCCCGCTGTCCTACACCTGAGTCCTGAGGGTGGGCTCACGTCCCGGGCGTCCCCAGGGGTGGCACACTCCCGCTGTCCTACACCTGAGTCCTGAGGGTGGGCTCACGCCCAGGGCGTCCCCAGGGGTGGCACACTCCCGCTGTCCTACACCTGAGTCCTGAGGGTGGGCTCACGTCCCGGGCGTCCCCAGGGGTGGCACACTCCCGCTGTCCTACACCTGAGTCCTGAGGGTGGGCTCACGCCCAGGGCGTCCCCAGGGGTGGCACACTCCCGCTGTCCTACACCTGAGTCCTGAGGGTGGGCTCACGCCCAGGGCGTCCCCAGGGGTGGCACACTCCCGCTGTCCTACACCTGAGTCCTGAGGGTGGGCTCACATCCAGGGCGTCCCCAGGGGTGGCACACTCCCGCTGTCCTACACCTGAGTCCTGAGGGTGGGCTCACGCCCAGGGCGTCCCCAGGGGTGGCACACTCCCGCTGTCCTACACCTGAGTCCTGAGGGTGGGCTCACGCCCAGGGCGTCCCCAGGGGTGGCACACTCCCGCTGTCCTACACCTGAGTCCTGAGGGTGGGCTCACGCCCAGGGCGTCCCCAGGGGTGGCACACTCCCGCTGTCCTACACCTGAGTCCTGAGGGTGGGCTCACGCCCAGGGCGTCCCCAGGGGTGGCACACTCCCGCTGTCCTACACCTGAGTCCTGAGGGTGGGCTCACATCCAGGGCGTCCCCAGGGGTGGCACACTCCCGCTGTCCTACACCTGAGTCCTGAGGGTGGGCTCACGCCCAGGGCGTCCCCAGGGGTGGCACACTCGTATTGGAGATGCGGTGCCTCCAGTGATGTCCCTTCTCCCTCAGGTGCTCCTGGCGTGGTCTGGAGGGCCTTCGTCCAGCTCCATGGTCTGGCAGGTCCTTGAGGTGCGTTTCCACACCATCCTCCGGGGCCCAGGCTGCCGCCCCACTGACCTCCAGGGTAGGGGGCCGGCACCAAGGGGCTCTTGTTTGAGGCTAGAGAGAATGGCCCATTCCCCAGCTGGGTTGCCCAAGGGGTTCTCGGATGTGCATACAAGAGGTACACAAACCGAAAACTGCATCTGGAGTACCCAGCCGTTTAGTGCTCTGTCCACTTGCTTGACTACGAAGAAACATAGTCGCTGGAAAATGGGTCTCGCAGCATGGCAGAGCACCACTCACTGTGTCTTAGAGGCCATGGGGCTCCTCTCGCTCTTGGGAGTGTATCTGGGACAAGACAGTGAAATATGAGTGGGAGCCTTGGGGGATGTAGAGGGGCCCAGCCCAGCCTGGAGCAGCGTCCTTAGGTTCGAGGGGAGACCCGAGTGAGCAGGGGGCTGCTGGGTGCAGTGAAGAGAGTAGCATGTCAGTGGAGAGGGCAGCTGGCAGCGAGGCGGGGAGAGGAGAGTGAAGTGGGGCTGAGTGTGGGGCTGCGCTCTGGGCGTCCACAGGCCCAGCTCAAAGTGTGGGAGGCAGGCTTCTCCCGATGGCACTGCGGCACCTTGGAGGCCTTAACCTGGGGGTGGGACACACAGGGACTATCTGCACTCCCTGAGCGGGACGCAGACTAGAGGGGCTGGGGAAGAGGGTGCAGCCACAGGGTGGCAGTAGCAAGGGTACAGGAGGCGGCCCAGGCCTCCAGGGGGGACTTCTTTAGTTGGTTTTCTGCTCTCAACTCACAGTCCTCTAAACCTGGCCAGACAGTGTGAGATGAGTGCCTGCTCCCCTGGGTCATTGTCCCGCACCTGGCACTGCTCTTCCCTGTGATCAGCGATGCCTTCCTTTTTCCACGTTGTTCTGTTCCATTCTGAGTGGTCAGAGGTGCTTGAACAGGGGGCTTCCCCTGGGGCATTGATAGCAGGTAGGGACACACTGGCGAGGGGTGGGTTTTACTAGGAGGAGCGAAGATGCCCAGGCAGGGCTGCTGTGAAGCAAGTCAGGCTGTGTGGCCTCCCCATGGGGCCTGTCTGGCACCTGGTCCACAACGGGTGGGGTTCACCGCCCCTTCCTGGAGGGCATTCAGTCCAGATGGAGAATGGTCCCTGCCGGGACAGTGTCACATGGCTTCTGGCCATGAGGCTGAAGCCTTGTCCCTTCCCCCTCCAGGGCCTGAGTCGAGAATCTGCCAAAAGACTGCGTTTTGTGCCAGGGATCGTCTGTATTGATGGTATGCATGGCTGTTCCTCCTCCCCGGCTGCTTGGGGTAGGCCTCGCTGAAACAGCTGGCGCTGTGCCCACGCCACGGCCCTGGTGGGTGCCCTTCTGAAGACAGAGCGCACATGTCCTGCAACAGACAGCACTGCTATTGTCTTAAGTCTCACACCGTCATTGGAGTTGGGCAGGAGCCTCTGCCCACGGGGTCATGGGCACTGAGTAAGCCCTCCACCCGCTCCTGTGGGGTGGGCTCCCAGGCCGGTCTTTAGTGCTGAGGTCAGTCATGCCCCCCCGTCCCCCAAAAATGCCCCCAAGGAAGATGGCTCAGCATCCTGTGGTTTCTACAGAAACTGCCACCCTGCAGAGCACAGCCTCGTGGGATTTCTTCTGTGGTGTTGGCCCTGTCTCACCTGCTGGGGTTCTTCTCCTGTGAGCCAGGACTCTCATTTCTGCCTGTGCTTTTCAGAGGGAGCAGCCTGTGGCCTGAGCCCAGAGGCCAGAGCAAAAGCCCTGGCCGAGATGAAGCTGATCCTGCAGACCGTTGGCTTCCCGTGGCATGTTGTCGCCTTAGAAGAGGTGGGTGTGCCTGTCCCTGTTAAAGGCCACTGGAGGTGACCCCTGGGGTGTCCACGAGGGGCGTGTGCCTGCTTGTTGGAGCCAGCCCCTGGGCCTCCCGTCCTGGGTCTGTTTCTCCCCAGTACGTAGAGAGGTGGGCCTGGGCCTCATGCTCTCTCCCCCATCCTCCTCTGCCCTGGAAGGTGTTTGACCTGCCACCATCCGTGCTGCGCTGCTTTGCCCAGGAGCCAGTGGGGACTGAAGGGGCCTATAAGGCAGCTGTGGACAGTTTCCTCCAGCAGCAGCATGTGCTGGGGGCTGAAGGGGCTGGGGACAGCCCCAGCCTCGCCCAAGGGGAGGAACAGCTGAGCTGGCCCTGCACCCAGGATCCCCAGAACCCCCAGAGCCCAGATAGGCCACCCACAGCTGCCCAGACTGAGGCTCTGTCCAGACTCTTTGACTCCGTGAAGACCCTGACAGCCAAGGAGGAGCTTCTGCAGGCACTACGGTGAGCCCCGCCCCTCCAGGCCCTTGAGACAACTCCCATGGGGGGCCTGGGCCTGCCCCTGCCCCACCTGGGCTCCTGAGACCCCCTGCCCTGCTCTGTAGGACCCACTTGATCCTGCATGTGGCCCGGACCCATGGCTACTCCAAGGTGATGACAGGAGACAGTTGCACACGCCTGGCCATCAAACTCATGACCAGCCTGGCACTGGGGAGAGGGGCATTCCTTGCCTGGGATACGGTACGTGGGTGCAGGCCACCAGGGGCCCCTCCTGCTGTCACACCTCTGGCCCTTTCATTTGAAAGTAGTGTCTCGTGAATCAGTCCTGGGGTCACCCACATGGAGTGGGGAAGCCTGTGACTCCCCAGCTGGGAGGGAGGGAGGGGAGCTGTGAGCCTGCTCACTTGAGTGTGGTGAGAAATGTCCCGCTCCTCCAGGGCTTCTCAGATGAGCGGCACGGCGACGTGGTGGTAGTGCGGCCCATGCGCGAGCACACGCTGAAGGAGGTCGCCTTCTACAACCACCTGTTTGCCGTCCCCTCCGTTTTCACGCCAGCCCTCGACACCAAGGTGAGCCGCAAGGATTACACGGGAGGCCTCCCCTCTAGCCTGGAGTCAGAGGTCACTGGCACACCGTTGGTGGCCCGAGCTGTGTCCACACCAGCTCTCTCGCCCCAGTGCCCACCACCTGGTGTCCTAGCAGTGCCTCCCAGCACTCTCGGAGCACACACAGGGCAGCCGCATGCCTTGGCAGGGAGGCGCCCTTGAGGAGGAGGGGCTCTCAGGGAGAGGAGGTAGCCGGCCTCCGGTGCCCATGTCGCTGGGAAGGCCAGGTCCTCAGCTTGTGGGTCGTAGACACGGAGGAGGGGACGATGGGGCAGGACGATCTTTGTCAGGGACAATTTATATTTATATAATTTTAACAACTTAAAGTGTGTAACGACAGGGATATTTTAGGAGTGGGTGCCCCACTCACCCCGCCCGACACGGTAGACTCTTGGGCCGACAGTGTAGAGAAGCCCACGGCCTCGACTCTAGGTGGCCCCTTGACCAGACCTGTGGGCTACCCCTCTGCACTGGGGCCACTCCTGCAGCTCCCCATCCAATTGTCCTTAGGCCCCTGAAAAGGCCAGCATTCACCGGCTGATGGAGGCTTTTATGCTCAGGCTGCAGGACCAGTTCCCCTCCACAGTCAGCACTGTGTACAGGTGTGTGATTGTGTGTGCACATGTGTGTGTGTGTGTGCGCGTGGGCCTGTGGGGCAGGGAAACGAAGGGGTGTGGGGTGCTGAGCCCATCTCCCTGGTGCTCAGGCCAGGGTGGGAGTAAAGTGGTGACAGTGCCTTTGTGCCCCATCCCCCATGTCCCCAGGACAAGTGAGAAGCTGGTTAAGGCCCCCAGGGATGGCTGTGCTGCCGGTCCCCCTGGCCCCCGCTGCCTGCTCTGTATGTGCGCACTGGACATCGACACTGCTGGTCTGTGTCTGCCTTCCCCAGGGTGCTCAGAGGAGGGCACTGGCGAGTGGGTGTTGGGGTTCAGCAGCCCCCTGGTCCCCTCAGCTCCTCTCTACTTGCAGACAGTGCCACGGCTTTTGGGGCTCAGACTCCCTTGCATCTGTCCCAGACGCAGCCCCCCACCCCACCGCCCACTGCACCCTGCTGTTCTGCAGGGATGGGGCGGGTGCAGGGCTGCTGTGGGGGGGCCAGGCCCTGCGAGAGGTGAGTCCCTGCCCCGTCCTGTCCACCCCATGGCTGGCCCCTGTAGGTGCACGGGGGGCGGGAGCAGGGGGACACCTCAGGAACATGTTCTGGGGCAGGGCGCTCCCTCACTGCGCCCGCGGACCCCTCGCTGAGGGCCACGACCGGGCACACAGGTGCAGCTCTGCTCTCGCAGGGAGGACCCCCGAGCCCGCGTCATCGAGCAGCTGTGCTACGGCTGCCGTGTGAACATGAAGGACTTGGTGAGTGGACGCCCTCCGTGTGTTGGGGATATGGGAAGTCCTCCTTCAGGGCATGAGGGGGGCAGGTGGGCACTGGCTTGGCTTTGTGCCACACAGCCCCTCGCCCACGTCGGCTCTCTGTTGCAGCCCTCCCTGGACCCCCTGCCGCCCTACATCTTGGCCGAGGCCCGGCTCCGCAGCCAGAGGTACCAACGCCCACTCTGCTCAGGGAGCCCTGGGGGGCCTTGGGGCGGAGCGCCTGCGGGGCCACTTCCCACCCAGCTGCTTCCCCAGGGCCTGCATCGAGCAGCAGATCCAGGAGTACCTGGTTGAGGACAGTGATGATGAGGCGCAGACTGGCGAGAGCTGAGCCTGAGGACGAGTGTCCTGGACCAGAGACACCCAGGGTGCCAGGGCTGGGACCTCTGCCACGCTAGAGCAGGAAGGCAAGGACGGCAGACGGCATGTGATTGTCCGTTTGTATAAATAAAAATGTTTTTTAATTAGAAAACTCTACAGTACGCGTGGGAAAGGGAGGGCCGGGCTCCCTGGCCCAGTGTGGCCGGCCGTGGGCTGCACTGGGCCCAGCAGGGATGACGGGAAGGGACAGCAGTCCTGTGCTGGGCCGTGGAGGGGCCACAGCTTCCTTCTGACAGCAGCATTAGGGCTCAGTGGGCCGGGTGGACATGTCACAGCTGGTGGCCTTGGACTGGGGTGTCTGCTCCTGTGGCCCGAGGAACGCTGCCCACCGGCCTGCCGGGCGGCTCCTTCATTCACGGTGCATGAGGAGCTGGTTCCTACTCCTTCTCGCGGGTCCACTTGATCATGGTCTCGGGTGAGCGGTACAGGAAGATGAGCTTAGCGTACAGCTCCTCCTCCAGCTCCAGCTCCCGCGTCTCCCGCACCAGGAAGATGTCCTGGCACAGCTTGAGGATGCGGTCCACGCACGGCAGCTCCTCGAACATGATGGAGTGCGAGATCTCGCTGAAGAAGCCGCGCACGAACTTGCCGATGACCAGCACGATGGACACGTAGAGCCCCATGATCCTGTGGGCAGGGGTGGTGAGTCCTGGGGGCTGCCGCCCAGAGCACACCCTGGCCCCCGTGCCACATACTTACCCGTAGCCAGCCAGGAAGCCCAGGCTGGGCGGGCTGACCTTATCACTGAAGATGACCATGGGCAACAGGTTGCAGTCAGTCTGGCAGTCCTGCAGCTCAATGACCCACCACTCAAGGAAGCCGGCAGCCCCCGAGCCCACAAGCTCCCTCCGCAGCTGGATGCACACACTGAGGTAGTCGGCCTCTTCATCTGGGTCCAAGCCAGGAAACCGTCAGGGCCACAGGCCACCACCCTCTCATAGGGCCGAGGCCCAGCCCCAGCCCCCAGCCCCTTTGCCCACACTCACTGGGCTGCAGCTGCTTCACGGGGTTGGCTTCAGGCCCATTGGGGGCACGGATGTACTTGGGGAAGAGGTTGGGGATGACCCTGTGGGGAGGAGGCCAGTCGGTGAGGCCTGCCCCAGCCCTCTTTTTTTTTTTTTCTTTTCCTGAGGAAGATTTGCCCTGAGCTGACCTCTGTTGCCAATCTTCCTCTTTTTCTGCTTGAGGAAGATTGTCCCTGAGCTAACATTTGTGCCAGTCTTCCTTCACTTTATGTGTGGGACACTACTACAGCATGGCTGACCAGTGGTATAGGTCTGTGCCTGGGATCCGAAGCTGTAAACCTAGGCTGCCAAAGTGGAGTGTGCTGTAAACCTAGGCTGCCAAAGTGGAGTGCACTGAACTTAACCACTATGTCACAGGGCTGGCCCCTGGCCCAGCCCTCTGGGTGCCCCCACAGCCCCCACTCACACTGACTGGTCCGAGGTGCCCTCGAGCAGGCTGGCCAGCTGCCGCCGCGCAGTGCTGTTGGGGGCTAGGTCCAGGGTGTGCTTCTCGTTGGTGTATTCCACGTTGCCGCCCTTGGCCAGATCCCTGCAAGCAGGGGACAGTGTGACCCACTGCAGGGCACACCCTGCCCAGGCCCCACCCAAGTGCAGGACGCACCTCTGGAAGTTCCAGGTGAAGCGCAGGGTGATGTCGGTGGTGCCGTTGTACAGCTCCCGTTTCATCTGGGCCCGGCTTGGTGGGCTGATGCGCCATAGCGCCCCAGAGCTGCCCTCGATGTGAGCCGTGACGATGTCCTCAGGGCTGTACTGGCTGATAAACTGCATGGCCAGCTGGGCACAGGGTGGCACCTCAGTGGGGTGTGGCCAGGCCACCCCTCCCCTAGGCTGTTGCCTCCCCGCAGGCAGACCCAGCATGGGGCTCACTCACTGGGTGGGGGTCAAACTGCCTGGACAGCTCCTCGTAGGCCTGGTCTGTGAAGGGCACGATGGACGGCTGCTGGGCACTCATGGTGAACAGGGGCTAGGAGTGGGAACGGGATGGGCCATATGGCACTGGGGGAGCCTCCCCGGCCTCTGCCCCCAGCACCCATACAGTACTCTTCACAGTCTGTGAGGATGAGAAAGCAGAGGAGCCCCCACGCAGCGTTGTCCCCTGCCTCCCCTGGCTGGAACAGACAGGTTGCCCCTCACCTCATAGCCGCCCAGCTTGAGGGTGACAGTGACATCAATGGGCTGGTTGACAACACCAACCACGGAGCGCACGAGGGACATGAAGAGCAGTGGGAACCAGATGATGGCCACGAGGAACAGAATGATGAGGCCGCCCATGCCATACTTGACAATCTTCTTCTTTTTCTGCCCCTTTGGCTGCGGGTATTTCTGGGGGGGATGTGGCAGAGGCCACCCGCTCAGCTCTGCCTGTCTCCTGCTGCCCCACGCCCTGCCCCCATCCTGCTCCGGGGCGGCAGGCACTGTCCAGACCCTGCCCTCCCTGCCCCTCCCATCCTCACACGGCCATGGGCTCAGGTCACCCAGTGGCCCCACAAAGTCAGACCTCAACCACATATCAAAACTGCAAAGCTGTGGCAGTGGAGACTGTGGCCCTGCCTGGGACAGATACAGAATCGAAGTGCGAGCCTGGAAACAAGCCTCACGTTGAGAGGACGCGGTGGGAAAGGGCGATGGCGCCGGGAGAGCTGGACACCCACATGTGAAGGATGAAGTTTGGACCCCTATCTGACACCGTATACAAAAGCTAACTCAGACGTAAGAACTAAAAAACGTTTATGGGCAAATGTTCGTCACGCTGGACGTGGCAGAATGTTCTCAGATCTAACACCAAAAGCACAAACAGCAAAAGAAAAAAATTAAACTGGACGTTATAAAAAATATAAAGATCTAGTGTTCAGGATAAAGAACTACAACGCAACAAAACAAGCAAAGCATCTGAATAGATGGTTTTCCAAAGAAGATGCACAGATGGCCAAGACGCACAGGAAAAGATGCTCCGTGTCACTGGCTGTGGGGGAAATGGAAATCAAGGCCACAGTGGGAGCCCAGCAGGATGGCAAAAAGGAAAAGTCACACAACAAGTATTGGCAAGGATGTGGGGAATCAGACCCTTGTATGCCACTGGTGGGATGTCGATGGGGCAGTGGCCATGGGAAACTGAGGCAGCTCCTCAAAAAAGGAAACCTAAAGTGCTCATGTGACCCAGCAGTCCCACTCCTGGGTATGCACCCAGGAGAAAAGAAAACTGTCCACATAATCTTGTACACGAGTGTGCTTAGTGGCATTTTTTACAATAATCAAGAAGGAGAAACAAACCCAAGTGTCCATCGACATTTGGAAGAGCTGGATAAAGTGCAGCCCATTGACAACGATGGAATACGACTCAGCCACGAAAGGGAGTGGAGTCAGACAGGCTGCAGCCCGGATGGCCCTTGATAACACACTGAGTGAAAGAAGCCAGACCCAAAGGCCACACATGGAGACCCCGTGCCTGTGACCTGGCTGGACAGGCATGTTTGTGGAAAGCAGATGGCAGTGGTGGGGGGCTGGGGCAGTGAGGGGACGGGGTTCTTCTTGGGGTGATGAGCCTGTGCTAAAGCTGCCTGTAGAGATGGTGGCACCACCCCGTGAATATGCCAGAAACCACCAAATTGCACACCTTAAATGAGAAAAATCTCGCACTGTGTGAATTATCTCAATAAAGCTGCTAAAAACTGACAAACCCTTGGCTGACATTTCAGTGCCCCACCTCACGCCATGACCCACAGCCTAGAGGCCAGGCCTCTTCTGGGCATTTGCTCTGGCCACTCTGCCAACTGCCTGTACCACAGGGCCCAGCTCACCATCCCTCTCCTAAGAAGCCCCTTCTGGCTGGGAGGAGTTTCAAAAAGATGCCCTTTCTGGCCCACGGTGGCTTTCTGCCTTCATGCTGATGTGGGCTCTGAGCACCATGTGGTTCGCACCGCGGCATGTTGGCCCCAGCAGGGAGTAAGCACTGTCCCCACCCTCCCTCGTACTCCCACTCTGGGCCCGGCACCTTCTCCGTCTCTCGGCTGCACTTGATGATGAAGATGTTGGCGTAAATGTCCTCCACGCACATCCAATTGGACAGGGACAGCGTGGTGTCCGTCCACACCCAGTCCATCACAGCCCGCAGCTCCACCAGGAACGGCACCAGCCGGAACCTGCCCGAGGCCAGGGCACTGTCAGGAGGGCCCGAGGGAGGGCAGCCTTGCTCCTCGCGCCCCCGGCCTGGCCCACACTCACCCCTGGAAGAGGAAGAGATTGAGGTGGTTGTACTTCTTGGTGAGGAAGTTGCCGAGGATGCGGGTGGGGTAGCCACAGCGGATCTGGTAGGCGGACAGGGCAAAGTAGATGCACTTCACAAAGTACCACAGCTGGGCCACCGCGTTCTGGCTGAACATCCTGAGTGAGACGGAATAGGAAGGCCAGGTCAGGGCAACCCGCCCAAGTCTGGGGGCCAGAGCCCCAAGGTCCCCGGACCCAACCCCAGCTCTGCCAGGCACTGCCAGTATGTCTCTCTGGGGCAGGGCCAGAGGCCCTGGTGCCCACCTCTCGGTGACAGCAGGCAGGATGAAGAACATCCAGATGTGAATGGCCAGCACCAGGACCACCTGGAAGGCCAGCTTGCCCAGCACCGTCTTGCGCAGGTAGAGGGCACGGTCGACCACCATGGTGCTGAACTGGATCAGAAGCATGACCAGGAAGGCCTCGGGCACCTGGTCATCTGACAGGGATGACGTGATGTCCCTGGCTGCTGAGTGCTTCTGTGGCCGGGAGAACAGATGTCAGGGGGAGGCGGGACAGTCACTGGGCTCTGCGCACACCATGGCCCCGAGCCCTGGCTCACCCCAAAGGCCCAGAAGCCGAAGATGATGATGATGAAGTCGACGACATCAGCCAGGAACATGAGGGCGTACACGTCGGTGGCCGCACGGTACTTGGTGTGCAAAATGTCGTGGAAGAAACGCTGCAGGGGCTGGTACACACTCTGGGCCCTGCGGGTGTGTTGGGTGGTGGTCAG